CATTCCAGTTACAATGCTGGGTGTAGGCACCCAACTACGCCTTCCAATTCCCCAATGTCAACATACTTGGACATTTTCCACACGTTCAAGGTACTAAGGTAGTTAATCCAGTGTTGAGAAATCTGTTCCTACTCCTATCACAAGACAGTGTAACTGAAAAAATCCAGAAGGTCCCCAGAAAAAGGTAGTCATTCTCCTTACTGTAGTACTCTTGACTTCAATTTGTATCCAATTAGCAGATAAAGTTTGATGTTCAAATTCACTGCTATAATACTATTCATAATATTCTATAATCAGCATTTTCTTATACATTTATGAGGGTAAATTAAAGCAAGTGTAAGGACTGTGTCTTTATTTTGCTTTTTCTTAACTGTGAACTGAAATGAGAAGAGCTGTTTCAATCAAGGGTGAAAGGGTGGCTATTTGTTTCGAAAGCAAGAAATCTGACACTACTGTTAAGCATTTTGTAAACATGCTTGAATTAGCAGTAATTGAAATTTGAGGTGCAGATGATCTGGAACTGAGAGGGTATATGGATGCAGTATTGTTGGCAACAAAAAATTGATTGGTCTATGGACTAGTCAGCATTTATTGATGGCATATACACTTTTGCCTGCCAACAACTGTGCAATTGGTTATTAGGTAACTGAACAGCTTGGAGCTGTGAACAAGTTACGGACAGAGAGAAGCATTCAGCTCTTTCCCAGATCAGGAACAATCTCTCTGTTCTTTGCAATGAAAATGATTTTAATCCTGAAGAAAACCAGTTTATTTTTCCTGCAAAAGTTGTTGCAACCTATTTTTAACCAATAACTCAGACTTGTTATAATAGAACCAACCATTTGTGTCTCTTACCAAATAATGGAAGCATCCAGGGAAAGATGACTGAAGAAATATGCTGACCAGTAGAAGAGTTAGCATAATGACTCAATAGTAAAACCTGGGAACAAAGACTACTGAACTGTCTTCCCAGTTCTCCCCCTTGCCCAATAACATATTTTACCCTGTTTGCTTGTGTGTGTGTGTGTGCACGCACGCGCGTGCATAAGGGGAGTTTTACAAGGGGATTAGAGTTTTAACTAGTAATGTTATATACTAATGGCTTACAAGGTGATATCCATGTGTAAAAACAGGCCTAGAAATAAAAACACAAATTTTGACTTTGCAACTTCTTTATAGTCATAGAAGATGAAATTTAGTTGGGAACTATTTTCTCCAGAGTTCAAAAGGCAAACATTATAAAGTACCTTTTTTATATAATCAAATCAAAAGTTTGATGTACAAAAGTATATTTGCTACTTAAGAATATAGTTTATACTTATTTAAATTAATTTTGTGCAGAAAAAGTGTTATCTGAGATGAACAGAAACCTGGATTGCATGGTTCTATAAAGAGGTCTGCTTTTAATATGCTAGTCTGAATGTAGCACATAAACTGAACTATAATTTTCTTTGCACAATGGATAAAATTGACCTCTATATTATTTACGAATTCATATTTTAATATTTTCAGAGATTATTAGAGTCCCATTTAAGGTATAATTAACTATCTTAATTTCTTTGTTTAAAAGTATACAGAGGTTAATCAAATAGCTTTGCTAACCGATTAATCCTGGTTAATCCTCAATGTCATCAACGTGAAATGTTATTTCTATTTCTCTCCCCACAAATAATGACAGACTTGCTGAATATTCCCATAATTTTCTCCATTTCAGATTTCTAGCAACAGTAGTATTTTGCTTTTGTAATCCTGGATAATGTCTGTTTTGGGACACTAGGTACATTTACGAACAGAGGTGGAAATCTGTAATTGAATAGCTTTCAATGACCAGCACGGGATAAAAATCCTGAAACTCCCTCTCTAATGGCATTGTGGGTCTACCTACAGCAATATGGACTGCAGCGGTTCAAAAAGGCAGCTCATCACCATCTTCTCAAGAGCAACTAGAGAGGAACAATAAATGCCAGTCTGGCCAGACGCACCCACCACCCACAAGTGAATAAAAAAAAATCTATGTCTCCTGGTTATTGACCTAAGGGCAAATGTTTATCTCCCATCTACCCTTTATTGGGCTTCAAACTATATAGTTGCAGTGTGGTGTTCCAACAAAGGGAAGTATAAAAAGTCAAAACCTCATCCAGACTTTTAGTAAGTGCCTCATTTGCAAATTTCAACATTGGGCTACTTTTGCTTTCTGCTCCACTATTGGCAGCGAAAATGTTGCTGAGAGTTTTGAAATAAAAACAGAAGATACTGGAAGTATTTAGAGTCCTGATGAAAAGTCGTTGACCAAAAAGCTAATTGTTTCACCCATCACAGAAGCAACTTAACCAGCTAAGTACTTCCAGTGTTTTGTTTCTATTTATGAGCAGTTACTTGTTCAGTCACAATACTCCTGCACTCTGGAAATCTTTGCCGTTCTGTTCTATTGTCTCCCTCTTGTTTCCAAAAATCATTGTCATGAACAATCACTTTGGTGCCCTAACAATTCTTCCACCTAGTCAGCATTTAGGATGCCCCTTAACTCAGACCCAAGAGTAAAGGATTGTGGGTTTATGCTCATTAACATCCAAGTGTTGAGTCAACAGAACTGGAATACAGGAATAGTGCCAGAAGACTGGAGACTAGCAAATGTTGTCCCCTTGTTCAAGAAGGGGAGTAGAGACAAGCCTGGTAATTATAGACCAGTGAGCCTTACTTCGGTTGTGGGTAAAGTGTTGGAAAGGATTATAAGAGATAGGATTTATAATCATCTAGAAAGGAAAAATTTGATTAGGGATAGTCAACACGGTTTTGTGAAGGCTAGGTCGTGCCTCACAAACCTTATTGAGTTCTTTGAGAAGGTGACCAAACAGGTGGATGAGGCTAAAGCGGTTGATGTGGTGTATATGGATTTCAGTAAAGCGTTTGATAAGGTTATTGCAGAAAATACGGAGGCATGGGATTGAGGGTGATTTAGCGGTTTGGATCAGAAATTGGCTAGCTGTAAGAAGACAGAGGGTGGTGGTTGATGGGAAATGTTCATCCTGGAGTTCAGTTACTAGTGGTGTACCTCAAGGGTCTGTTTTGGGGCCACTGCTGTTTGTCATTTTTATAAATGACCTGGATGTAGGCGTAGAAGGATGGGTTAGTAAATTTGCGGATGACACCAAAATCGGTGGAGTTGTCGATAGTGCGGAAGGATGTTGCAGGTTACAGAGGGACATAGATAAGCTGCAGAGCTGGGCTGAGAGGTGGCAAATGGAGTTTAATGCAGAGAAGTGAGGTGATTCACTTTGGAAAGAGTAACACGAATACAGATTACTGGGCTAATGATAAGATTCTTGATAGTGTGGATGAGCAGAGAGATCTCGGTGTCCATGTGCATAGATCACTGAAAGTTGCCACCCAGGTTGATAGGGTTGTTAGGAAGGCGTATGGTGTGTTAGGTTTTATTGGTAGAGGGATTGAGTTTTGGAGCCATGAGGTCACGTTGCAGCTGTACAAAACTCTGGTGCGGCCGCACTTGGAGTATTGCCTACAGTTCTGGTCACCGCACTATAGGAAGGATGTGGAAGCATTGGAAAGAGTGCAGAGGAGATTTACCAGGATGTTGCCTGGTATGGAGGGAAGGTCTTATGAGGAAAGGCTGAGGGACTTGAGGCTGTTTTTGTTAGAGAGAAGAAGGTTAAGAGGTGACTTAATAGAGACATACAAGATGATCAGAGGATTAGATAGGGTGGACAGTGGGAGCCTTTTTCCTCAGATGATGATGGCTAGCACGAGGGGACATAGCTTTAAATTGAAGGGTGATAGATATAGGACAGATGTCAGAGGTAGGTTCTTTACTCAGAGTAGTAAGGGTGTGGAATGCCCTGCCTGCAAAAGTAGTAGACTCGCCAACTTTAAGAGCATTTAAATGGTCATTGGATGAACATATGGATGATAATGGAATAGTGTAGGTTAGATAGGCTTCAGATTGGTTTCACAGGTCGGCGCAACATCGAGGGCCGAAGGGCCTGTACTGCGCTGTAATGTTCTATGTTCTATGTTCTAATTAAATATTTCCTTCCACAAAGATATTTGGAGAAATTGACATATTAATCCAAGTGACTAACACATGGTCAAAATATCTGTAGATTGTTTCCTTTGATTACATACAATGTGGAAATATTAACAGATTTTTACCAGAACAAAAACAAAATTTATGGTAGAGTAAGGAAATGGTATTGCTTCACTTTGTCTCTGTGGGTTTTGGAAGAATGGCAGTCAGAGCACGCACTGTAAATTGAATCAGCATATGCTCTTGTGACCCCTGCAGTTCAGATGTACACTGGCAATTACAGCATCAATTTCAAGAAAGAACGGATGGGGAAAAAAATTAATAGCAACTTGCATTTAGACAGCACTTTTACAACAGCCCATCATGCCTCGTGCATGTGATTTGACAAAAATTGACAAATTCAATTACCCACACAGAAGAGAATGAACATTATTAAAATCTTAAAAATAATTGGAGTCATTTAAAATACTACACAATGAAATAAACAACTTCATTGTTCAAATGTTATATTCCATTCCTTTTCTCTGGATCTAATCCTTTGGTACTGCAAAGCAAGCTCTAAAGTAGTGCATTAAAGCAAAACTGTAATCACAGATCATAGATCATGTATAGTAGTTTAGGGAGATATAAGCAGATCCATAAATAAAATGGATAACTTAAAGTTATTGGATCTTTACAGCAAAAAGTGAAGCAAATATGGTGTTTATTGATTGATTTTATACGGAATTATAGAACAAAAAGTAAAAATATGATAGCACTGTAACAAAACTGCATCTACATAACAAAAATAAATTCTTAAACAGTAAAATAATGTGCATGCGAACAAGGAAAATGTATATAAATGTCAAAATAATATAAGATGAGATAGAACCGAAATCAATTCATCACAACAGAAAATATATAATGCAAAAATGCATTGTTTCGACTTATTACATGCAAATAAGTGCAATTAGAAAGATTTTAGAAAATTACTAGAAATAAAATTTATTTTGACAGTTTGTACAAACGATACACACAGCAGGTGGCTTTAAAAGAATGCCTCCATTTTCATTTGCAATCCATTGTGATGCGCAACATAACGTTTTCATATTGAACTCAGTAACAACCATGTGTCATTGCATATGAATTAAGAAACCTCCAGAGTTACGATTGTGGCAGATAAGGAAATTCTGGCAACTAGTGGGATTTTCTTCAATTCCTTAGTTAAAAGCCTAATTTAGCATAGATCACCTTAAACTGAATAGTAACAATTTAACTTGGCTCGCAACTACTAAATGAATTGCTTTGTTGGACGGCATAACTTTGCAAAAAAAAATCCACCCTAATCTTAAACAAAAGGCCAATACCATTGGTGAAGAATGTATCTAAGTATTAAAGTCGCAAAGTTTTAGAATATCAGCAAACCTTTCAACAGATGAACCAAAGGTTGAAGTAATTTTCACTGGGGCAATTAAGGTTGATGATATGTCATAGCTTGCCCTGGTCTTGTATAAACACTACTGCAATCCTCAAGTTTGTCTCCGATGTGATGATGCTGTATAAAGAAGGTCAATTGAGAGCAAGTAACAATATTAAATTGGACTATCAAATTTAAGGAATATTCCGCAGTCTAGGCTTTTGAACATTTCTTTTTAAAAAAAAACTTTCATAAAGTATATTTTCTGAAACCAAAACTCTATTGTTTAGCATGCTCAACATTTGGTTGCCACATTCCCTTTTTCTGCTCTGGTGGTAATATTTTAACTAATATGCATTATTTTCCATTTTAATTTGTGTCAAAACATTAGTTACGCTTGTCAATTTGAACTCTGTGCACTACAGAGTGCTGTAACGGTCACCATCTCATTGCAGTAATTGCTTGTGTATACTTTGCGAAACCACGTAAGAAATATTGCAGTATGTAACAACACATATATACAGCTTAAAAAAAAATGGTATTAAGCCCTGATGAACCCTGAAATCTGTTGAGTTTAAGAAATGCAAGCTTGGGATAAATCAGTAACTTTTCAGCAACTGTAGCCCATTAACCTTCATACAGACAGTTACACCAAAATCTTTGGAAGGATTCCTGTAAGTGCAATACAAAGTCCTAAGTATTTGACATTAAAGACAATGTCATGACTTCACAAGTTTGAACCCTTGTCCTGTATCCAGGACTGTGGGTGGGAACCACCTCATCTTCAACCTTTTGAAACATCTAAAGCAAACATTACACATCCAGAACAGGTTCAGCCTCCCACACCAGTCTGCCAAGTGAATCAGAGGATAAGTAATACGAGGGAAGTAAATCATCCAATGCTTGGCAACATCATTTCCTGTTGGTAAGTGAAGGGTGTAATCACTCCATGATTTTGATATACCATAATCAGCCATTATTGTTCTTCCTTTATCTGACCAGCTAATGTTGTTGTCAAGGTTGCAGTTATATTCCACCCAGTCTTTAGTAAAGTCACCTAGTTGAGGAGGATCCGCTTCTTCAATATTGACTTCTTTGGCCAGTTTTGCACCTTGCACAGCAATGAAAGTTTCACTGAGTCTTCTTACATCTTTAATCCATGGAAGTGCATTCTCAGAGTCTAAAACAATTATCAGGCGGGAGCAGAAGTCCGCATTCTTCTCTTTCCACCACTCCATGATTGTCTCCAATCTCAAAGTTTCTCCTCCTGACAAAAACAATCAGAAGTGTAAGTTACCTATTCTGAAACATCAGGTTCAACTATTCCTGCTATAGCTTTTTGGGTACGTTATTTAATGTTACACAAGGTATGATATTTCACACGCAAACAGTAATCCAAATGGAAGGTCAAAATCAGAAGTCACTTCACCTGACAAAGCAGCAGCACTGGCATCATGTGACTTCTGACTTTGTCCATCACGGTCCAACACCAGCATCTCCAGATAAATGGAAAGTATAATTCTTTGCTAACAGGCTATAGCTGTTTCATTTATTGTTACAGGTATCCATGGGACATGCTTCACTTAATAATGAATTTCAATCACTGAATTTTATCCTGTGATTTTATACTTGACATCAGGTTGTGGTGAGTAGGCCCTAATGTTTGACATAAATAACATCTCTAAAATATTTCAGAGTTGTAGTAAAGTTTTGGGATGCTAACAATACAAGTCTGCGATAATCATTTGGTGAACTTCAGGTAGATATTCTGTTTGCAGATATCCATAATACTTTTTAGACTTGGAGATTTTACTGTTTTACTAAAACACAAGCAGATCAATCAGTGAACAGATGTATGTGTGACAAGTTGACTATTGATTTGCAATAATGCACCAATATTTTACTTATTTTTGAGGAAATGTCTTAAAATTCAAGCTTTGTAGCAACATATTCTGTTTAAGTCAGCAGTTCACAAGTCTGTTCATGAAAAACGCAGCCCAAAAATTGAAACTTCTCTGATATGTGGGGACTGGAACTCAGTGAAATAGTTTAGCATTTCAGAAAGAGAAAGGAATTGATACTTTTGATAAAACAAATTCTCCCTATCACCTAAAAAAAAGTCCCAGACTTCTTAGAGATCTTTGCATCCATCAGTTTAGTTGAGGAATTAACATTACTTATTAATCATAAACTTACACACGAATCACACAAAACATATGCAAATGCATTTCATAGCTTTTTTGGACCTGGCAACTAGAACCAAGTATTGCATTCCAAACCGTGACACAAAGGATTTGATAAAGTATACCATGGTAAGGAATAGCATGTATGTTGTGCCTGAAAGCAGGTTAGTAACTCATCGTCTGCTAGGGTTTCATCTTCAGCCATTTTTTGACAGTCTTGTGTCAATAGTGGTTTATTACTGTGTCCCACTCTCAGGGAGGCAAACCCAAGATAAAGGCCAAGCTGCATTTGTTTCAGATTATAAGAAGTCATTGATATGTTTCATACACAGACTGACTCACAAGACAGGTTAAATGGAAAAGTCAACAGAAAAGGTGATGCATGGAAGAGTATAAATTGATAGCCAGCACAGCCTGTGATTGGTTTTGGTGCCATTTTATTTTACAAACATTTATAAATAACTTGGAAGTTAAAAATATCATTGTCATAATGAACATGCTTATTGAGATAGGTTTTATAATGTTTTCTTTACAATATTCTTCTGGACCAGGACAAGTTGGACAAAACAAAATAAATATCTCTTTTGTCCTTCTCTTCAACAGCCTTTCATCTGGTGGACATCAATTGTGTGATAAACAATGCCTGATATGACTCAGAAGCTGCAATTTAGCATAGCAATATCTACTACATTGAATCCTGAACCTTCTCAGTGCAGTCATTGTAAGATAGTAAGAAGTGCCTATGCTGGAGTCAGAGATAACAGAGTGTGGAGCCGGCGGAACACAGCAGGCCAGGCAGCATCAGAGGAACAGAAAAGCTGACGTTTCGGGTCGGGACCGTTCTTCAGAAATGTTTTCTGAAGAAGAGTCCCGACTCGAAATGTCAACTTTCCCACTCCTCTGATGCTGCCTGGCCTGCTGTGTTCTTCCAGCTCCACACTCTGTTATCTCAGGATTCACTGGCCTTGTTTTCTCTGGAGCTTACTCCCAGGGGGCTCTGCTTTCAGTTTCTCCTTGGCTCTTCCAATGACCCTCCTAAACAGTCAGCCTCCAGAAGGGCTGTTAGTGACTTTCGCAGGTGCCAGTGTCCACTGTCCTTATATTTCCCTGCAGTAATGACCAAGGGACCGTTCATTGTACAGAAGGTCTTTAGGTTTATGGTTGGCATTTGATCGATGACTGTGGCTGAACCAATATTAATTTTGTTACTTTAGAAATGTGTGCATGCTGATGGAATTAACATGGTCCAAGAAAACTGAGCTGCTGAATGTGTCTTGCCAAGGGATGTCAAGAATGTATCTGAGACAGTAGAGGTGGAAACTGGTCAGTCTTCTTTCCTGCTTAACATATGTTATCCAGGTGTCACCGCTGGAGTGGAGAATGCTGAGGATGCAGGTTTGATGGACTCTCAGTTTGCTGTTCCCAGTCAAGTTTCTCTTTTACAACTCTCTCTTACTCAGCTTGGAGGTAACAGCTGTACTGACTTTAGCAATCCTAGGTAATGGTGGTATGGCAACCTCATGAATCATGACATTTGTGTTTCTACTACAGAAGCTGAAACGGAACACGAAGGTTTGGGAGAGATTGCCCATTTGTCAATTAAGGCATCTTTCAGTACGAAATGCTTATGTGGTGTCTTCACCCTTGAACATCGCGCTGAAGAGGCTTTGGGGTGTTGGGTTGCGGGGGGAACTGGAATATATGTAGAGACTCACTATGGATGAACTAAAGACATATAACAGCAACATAACAGAAGGAAATGCGAAAGAATGTTGGTGCCAATAACACAACCCTGTCTGACCCCACTGCAGATCTAATCGGTTCGGTCTCCTTCTTCACTTCAACACTTCTATCATTCTGTTTCTGATGTTGCACCATCAGAGCTGGCCTTATACACACTTTGTCCTTGAAAGAAGGAATCACGTAGGATAGATTTGTATCATAGTCAATTTTCTTCAGCAGTTTAAATGGACTACTCTTATTCACATTTTCTAATGCCTTGGTGAGGTTGATGAAGGTAAAATCTTGCTGCAAAGAGAGGCATGTTTCCAAAGCTGTATATCTTGCACTCATCAGGACAAGAATGACAAATTGTAATAAAATGGCAGCATTTCATCCCACTGGAGAAAAGGGTCTGACTGGTCTGTAAGCTGACTTGCATTGGTTGAGGCGTTAGCATTGTGATGATACTACAGCTTTAAGAGGTGCATTTTGTCCTGGTTTTTCTTTTATGAAGGTTGAGACAGAGATGTGAATGATCTGCTCAAAGCCAATAAAGTAAACAGCTTGTCAGGCCTTAGTTTTTTTATAAAGTTGGAACAATAAAAGCACACTGAATGTTTGGGGTCAAAACCCCACAAAACCAGGATTTTTAAGTTTTAGCTTTCTGCAGTTGCTGGGGTCTTGAAGCTGGATGTGGAAGATCTTTCTCTCTCTGTTACAGCTAAAATCTGGAGGTCTCTTCCCCCTGCTGTAATTGCATGTGAGACAATCTATTTTACTGAACTTGCCTTTGCCAAGGGTATGTTTATGGAATGTAACTATATTGGAACAGTTAATTAGTTGTAGTTTTTTTATATATAGTTAAGCATTTCGATAAGAATTACAGTTAAGCCAATTCTTTTATTTTGTCTGCATTTTAACTATTGTGAAAAAATAAAATTTGTTTTCCTTAAAATCGATAGTTTGACCAACTGAATTGCATCTGGAACGTAATGCCTTATACTTACCTTTAAAATAAGAAAACGTTAGGGTCTAGGCTACCTTCTTCATATATTTTGAGGGGGTTTGGTTTGGTCCATAACACACTGAGCAAGGTAGCTCTGCTTGTACCACAATAATCCAAAAGAATCTGGACAAACAAGTTCAATGGTCAGAGAGGAAGTAATCAGAATTTAAACTGAATAATTGCAGTCATGGGATTAGTTGGACAAATCATAAAGATTAACAATTCCTATAGTACCGAGCCAAATTCAAGTTAGCCACAGCTGTTAAAAAGTCCTATTGCAAAACAAAATGCTTGTATACCATAAGTAAATCTCAGATAAAGTCAGAAAAAAATAATGGCACCATGTGATTTTCCTTCTCTCAACGGTGCCACAAATATGAAACGTCTTTCAGTCAGGTAGGAAAGTTGGTCATCACCCAGAAACTCTCAATAATCATTAATCCCTGTCAAGAGCAACTCCCAGGAATAAGAATTTGACAGAGTTAATTGCAGAACCAGCGATTTTACACTTGAGACAGAAAATACACTATGAATTCAGCATTTTGTTTGTGGACATATGCTGTTAGCTTGCAACTTCACCTTCTGGGTAAAGAACCTACAACAGTGGTACAGATACAGAAGCTGCATTTTAAAGGAACTGATCATTCGAATTCACATTTCAACACGTCGAATCAGAGGGTGGCTGAGAGTCATCACAGCAGAATTCCAGGAGACATCGCCACAGTCATCACAACTGTGCAGCAGGTCAGAGAGAACCTGGTGTCAAGGTTGGTTAAACCTGAAACACTACATTGGTGTTTCCCACCCTCCCTCCTCCTCTGACCAAAAAACAAGGGACTCTGTGAGGTGTACAAGGGAGCAGCATTAAAAGAGTGGGCCAGTGTTAGATTGGAAGTGCTGAGGCCTTTGTTCAAGAGGTTTAGGAGTGAGTAGGCTGCGCAGGGGAGCAGGTAAGGGCTCTTTCACTCTACTTTCTGGACTGAAGGCAGTGGGCTTGGCAGTTAGGGCAGTGGCATGCTCCTCTTGCAGGATGTGGAGATCAGGGAGACTTCCGGTGTCCCTGCTGGCTACAGCTGAGAGAAGTGCACCCGGCTGCAGCTCCTGACAGACTGTGTTAGGGAACTGGAGCTGGATGCATTCAGGATCATCCGGGGTGCAGAGAACATCATTGATAAGAACTACAGTGAAGTGGTCACTTCTAAGTTGCAGGCTGCAGGTAGCTGGGTGATCACCAGAAGAGGCAAAGGAGGAAGGCAGATAGTGCAGAGTTGCCAAGTGGCCATTCCCTCAATAACAGATATACTGCTTTGGGTCCTGTTGTGGAGGATGACCTTTCAGGGGCTAGCAGCAGCAGTC